TCTAGTAACTTCTGTTAGTTGCCGGAAGAAAGCTTTATCCACCTCATCCTCCTGGTCTGGTGGTCTATAGCAGACTCCCACCACGACATCACCCTTGTTGCTCACACTTCTAAACTTAATCCAGAGACTCTCCGGTTTTTCTGCAGTTTCATACTGGAGCTCTGAGCAGTCATACTGCTCTCTTACATACAATGCATCTCTTCCACCTTTTCTGCCCTGCCTGTCCTTCCTGAACAGTTATTCCACCAGGTCTTTGTTATTCCAATCACGTCATAATTCCTTGAGTGTGCCAGGACTTCCAGTTCTCCCTGCTTGTTTCCTAGGCTTCTTGCATTTGTGTATAGGTACTTAAGTTAACTTGCTGATCGTCCTGCTTTCTCAGTATGAGGCAGGAGTCCTCCCCTCTTGCGCTCTCCTGCTCGTGCTTCCTCCCAGCATCCCACTTCCCCAGTTACCTCAGCGCTTTGGTCTCCTTCCCCGATGAACCTAGTTTAAAGCCCTCCTCACTAGATTAGCCAACCTGCTTGCGAAGATGCTCTTCCCTCTCTTCGTTAAGTGGAGCCCGTCTCTGCCTAGCATTCCTTCTTGGAACATCATCCCATGGTCAAAGAATCCAAAGCCTTCTCTCCGACACCACCTGTGTAGCCATTCATTGACTTCCACGATTCGACGGTCTCTACCCGGGCCTTTTCCTTCCAGAGGGAGGATGGACGAGAACACCACTTGCACCTCAAACTCCTTTATCCTTCTTCCCAGAGCCATGTAGTCTGCAGTGATCCGCTCAAGGTCATTCTTGTCAGTATCATTGGTGCCCACGTGGAGAAGCAGGAAGGGGTAGCGATCTGAGGGCTTGATGAGTCTCGGCAGTCTCTCAGTCACATCGTGAATCCTAGCTCCTGGCAAGCAGCACACTTCTCGGTTTTCCCGGTCGGGATGGCAGACAGATGACTCAGTCCCCCTGAGGAGATAGTCCCCGACCACCACCCGCCTCCTTCTCTTGGGAGCGGTGGTCGAGGAACCCCCATCCCTAGGACAGTGCATCTCATGCCTTCCAATCAGTGGAGTCTCCTTCTGCTCCCTTCCCTCAGATGTATCATCTAGTCCACTCTCCGCATTTGTACCTGTGGAGAGAACATGAAAACAGTTGCTCACCTGTATCTGCATTGCTGGTACATGGACGCTCCTCTTTCTTCTTCTGGAGGTCACATGCTGCCAAATTTCTTCACCGTCCTTCTGTCCCCACTGCGCAGCCTGCTCTAATTCTTCAGAATGTTGTGCTCGTAGAAGCATATCCTGACGTCTGTCCAGGAAATCTTCTGCACAGGCCACATTTTAATGCACAAATAGAATATCCAGCTGCAAACTCGTGAACTAATTTTTGCCACAGACAAGTCAAACCTTGTATGACATTTCACATTTTCCCCCCCTTGAGTTCCACCCCATCAGTTGTGCACCCACCAAGCTCTTGTTCTGAAACTTGTCTCCCAGGCCTTTTCTGTACTGGATTTTCAGTTACTGCTATAGCTGCAACACTAGAAAGCCCTAGTGTGGATATGTATTGTATATGTATAGCTTACCCTGCCAGTGCAAATCGCACTGTGGTGGTGTAAACTGTGTGCCGATAAGGAACTGGCAATGGTGAAATCCCAGTGTGGACAACAGGAAAGCTAACATTCGTCAAATTGATAAACTGAATTTCTTTGAGTCTCATCATGTTTCTGCTTTCTGTCTCATTACTGTGCATTAAAATATGCCCCTCTGGTCTTATTTCACATATTAATTCAGTCTTTAACCGTATCACCTGTATAACATGCCTCATCAGTGTCATGATTCTAGCTGAGAATAATGCCCTTCAACATACAAATAATCTCTCCCCATACCTACCTTTCGTACATGGAGACCTTGGTGCTATCTTCACAGTCTTGTTGCAACACAATATTTCTTTCTCCCAGGTTGACATGTTGATCTTGTGCTATTGGTTAGCCTTCAAATAGCCTTTTCGTCATAGGGAGCATGTGGGACTACCAAGTGGGGGCATGGCTTGAGCTTTCACACTAATCGGGAAGTGTTGAAAAAGATCTGACTGCACAGTACTGCTGCCATAGAGCTCAAAGTTACCTGAATGAGGCATAGCCCACATGGAAGGAGACCTACGGAAGTCCATCCTGAGGCTTTATAGTCAAAACAGTGGGGAAAATGTCATCTGAGAAGAAATTATCCTGACTGTCATTCTGTAGAATTCCCATTAGATTCAACTCTTCAAAAAATCACCTATTTAATACTTATTGATGCTTATTGTAGCTTGCTCTGTTATTTCCATAGAATCTGAAATTTCTATTGACTGACACTTAAAGACAAGCCTGGACCTGATGAATAGCACCTGCTGCTGTTGAATTTGGCTAGCTAATGGTTCATGGCTCTAGCAGATGTTCCTGCTCTTTAAACAAGTAGGAACTTTATTGGTCGTTTCCTTTTTCCCACCTCCCCACCCTCTCTCTTTCCCTCAGAGGAACAAATTCCAGCACAGTTGAAATCTGGAAATATGCCATTTGGGTTTGAACAAAATACGGGCTTGACACATATCCAATCTCAGAACTGTGACAGAGGTTCTCTGATATCAGAGAGTCTAACATGACAGAAGTGTCAGTCTGAGTCTTCATTCCAGTTACAAATTGGTTCTAGTTGTTGTACTAAAAAAAAAAAAAGTTCAGTAGCAAAGAAATTATATTCAGGAAATTTTATTGTAACTGTTCATAAGTCTGTCTTCAGCAGCCAATAAGGTAGACTATCTAACAAAGTACAAGACCCCACAGCTGTAGTCATGGAGTACATACCATGGCATGAAATCTTTTAAGTTTCTGCATTTTTTTTTTTAAGGTTTTGTTTTTCATCAGGTCTCTTATCAACACACTTCTAGCACCTTTTGGGTCTCTGAGTAACTACAGTAGAATCTCAGAGTTACAAACACCTTGGGAATGGAGGTTGTTCCTAACTCTGAAATGTTCGTAACTCTGAACAAAACATTATGCTGTTCTTTAAAAAGTTTACAACTGAACATTAACTGAATACAGCTTTGAAACTTTACTATGGAGAAGAAAAATGCCAGTTTTAACCAACTTAATTTAAATGAAATAATCACAGAAAGTTTCTTTACCTTGTCAAATCTTTTATTAAACTTTTTCCTTTTATTTTTTAGTCATTTATGCTTAATACAGTGTTGTACTCTATACTTTTTTTGTCCCTGCTACCTGATTGTGTACTCTCCATTCCAAATAAGGTGTGTGGTTGATCAGTCAGTTTGTAACTCTGGTGTTCATAACTATGAGGTTCTACTGTACTTCCACTGTGTTTGCGATAAGGATATTGTGTGAAATAGCATATTGTTAAGTAAATTCTTCTGCAGGCAATGAATCAATTAATTTTAAATTTAGCTAGACCTCTGCAAGAAGCAGGAAATTTTATAATGAAAATAAAGTGATCAAAATATTAGTCATGAAATTCAATGAAAGAATAAAAACACGTCTCTCAAGGAGCTGAAAATGTATTTATGTAGCAGTTATTTCCAATCTGTTGTACCATCTGATGATCTTAAGCATTAAAAACATTTCATGGAAATTCTAAATAAAGAAAATTTCTCACAAACAGCTGACAAAAAAAGAGAAATTCCTCAGACACAGGGCTAACTTCTGCTCTAAGTAACATACGCTGGTGTAAATCCAGATTGACTGACAGAACAGTTTGGTTCATTTAATGCCTCAGGGGAAGGACAGGGCTAATTAAAATGTAAATAGAAAGGGTATTCAAAACTGTTGTGTACAAGAGGAGGTTTACAGTGAAGTCCTCTGAGTGAAATTCTTTTGCAAAGAACTATTTCATTTATAAGTAGAGACTTACTCCAACTGCAGTTGCAAGTTGCACATTGCAATGCTTCAGAACAATTTGATGATCTTTGATGATTTCCACTCTTTTTTTATTTTAAAACAATGCAGCAGATCTAACATCTTTTGTCTAATGATCTTAAAGTGCCTTTCAAATGTAAGATTTTTATTCATTAACAGCAGTTTTCCTGTGAAGTAGGAAGAGTATTATCTGGTTGTATGGATGAGGAAACTGAGACCTGGTCTACACTGGGGGGGAGGGGTGGGGAAACCAATCTAAGTTACGCAACTTCAGCTACGTGAATAAAGTAGCTGAAATCAACGTACTTAGATCTACTCACCGCAGTGTCTTCACTACGGTGAGTCAACTGCTGCCGCTCCCCCGTCGATTCTGCCTGCGCCTCTCGCCGAGCTGGAGTACAGGAGTCGACGGGAGAGTGCTCAGGGATCGATATATCGCATCTAGTCTAGACGCGATAAATCAATCCCCACTGGATCGATCGCTGCCCGCCGATCCGGCCGGTAGTCAAGACATACCCTGAGGTCTAGAGAAGTTAACTCGCAGGTCACAAAGGAAGTCTGACAGAGCGAGGAATAACACTCAGTTCTCCTGATTCCTAAGCCTGTGCTTTTGCCCAGGACCATGTGTTGTGTTGCCAACCAGCTGTTCCTGCCCAAACTGAATGGAGAGTTGTGCATAGGACAATAGGTGCAATCACTGTGAGAGAATTTATTCTTTGCAAACCTTGCTCTGACTTTAGAGAATGCCAGTGATGGCAGACTGTCAAATTTCCCAAAGTTCTGTCCATTCTCCCTTGGGTTAGTTATAAGGCAAACAGGCCAAAAAAACAAAGAAACCCCAAACCTAAAACAGCCCTCCAGTTTTCTTTTCACTAGGATGTGCATGTTACATTGAATTGTCCTGTCTTCTGAAGTATGAAGATATCACTGTAGTTATAATTCTTATTGTATCCAGATGTGCCAGAAACTAAAATACAGGTCCAAAGAAGAGCTATCAGATTTAACTGCCTTCTCATAAATTATTAATTAAAGAGCCTGGGGAATGGCTCCCTAATCTTTCAAGAAATTTATAATGTTTTATTTATGTTTTTGTGTCTGCAGCCTGCTAACTTTCCCTACAAGGAAGAGATTATGGCAGTAAATCCTACTTGTCTAGTTGTGATTATTCTACTCTTCATAAGCATCATTCTGGCTTTCAAGGTGAGCATGTGTATAAAATTCATCTTCTATATATGGAATGTCTTTGGAATAGCCCTCCCTCTTTCTCTCCAGAACAACTGTATTTTGTTGACTTAACAAGGCTGAATAACCAGTGGGACATTAGTTACAACTAGCATGGATTTGACAGCAAGGAAGGAGATGGTAGATAATTGCAGCAGCTTTTAAAAAAACAAAAACAAAATATGGAAGTGCATTAATACCCACACGTGATTTAGTATGTTGTTCTATGTGAATAAATCAGACCAATATATAGTCCAGTCAAATGATATTAGTGATATTTTCTTACATTATAAGGATTAGCTCATGTCATTCTCAAATGTGTTTGATATTTCATTTAATAAATATTGCCTTTAGGTTTTTGAAAGGATTAATCACAGGCCTGAATAGAAAAGTGACAATGCTAGGAAATTCATAGTACAAAAAAATCCTTGGGTTTTAGTTTGTCACATGCCAGTGTATATTTGCTCCAAGAGTGTAAATGACTAATGCAATTGAGATCAATTAATGTCCCTTTCTTCTCATATTTAGCTGATTTCCCCTAGACCTGGCATTATTACTAACTCTCACTTTCCTTAATGTTTGTTCTAGCAACATATAATTAATGCATATGTGTCTCAAAATATATGACTCACTAATAGTGGAAATATATACTAAAATACAGTCAGCATTGGCATTTTCATTTGAATTGCTTGTTTGCAAAAGAGTTGTTTTGCAGATTTATGGAACCTGCTTAATGAAAAGAAAGTTGCCTAGTATCAAATGCATCGCACTATTTATCACTTTGATAGACATAACAATTGGTATCACATTTGTGTATTGAAACTGAAAGGTACTGAACATAAAAAAAAAAAAAATTGAGTGCTTTCATGAATTGGAGTTCTACTGTTAAAAGTAGAGAGAGGCGCACCATAGCCTAGCAAACATTGCAGGAGGGAAAGGTGATTCATAGAGTAAGAATTATAAAACAAAATAACATACGTAATTTAAAAAACATTTGGCAGCATGAGAGGGTCCTGTGGCACCTTTAAGACTAACCTTTCTGTTAGTCTTAAAGGTGCCACAGGACCCTCTGTTGCTTTCTACAGATTCAGACTAACACGGCTACCCCTCTGATATTTGGCAGCATGATACTCTTACATTTGGGTGGGGGGTCTCTGTATCAAGCAAACTATTTTAAAGGAGGAATCTAAATGGGGGGCCATTTGTGCTTTGCAAATATGGCAAAAACCCAACAACCCCAAAGCAGTAGTCCTTTTGGCCTTCAGTTTTCACCAGAAATGTTCTATTTCAGATGTTTAATCTCTCCAAAGAACCAGCTTTAGGGCAAATCGACACTTGAAGCGCTGCATTGGCACAGCCGCACTGATGCAGCTATGCCATTGTAGCACGTAAGTTAGTGTTTCTCAAAGTGGAGTCGCCGCTTGTGTAGGGAAAGCCCCTGGCGGACCGGGCCAGTTTGTTTACCTGCCCCATCCGCAGGTCCGGCCGATTGCGGCTCCCACTGGCCACGGTTCGCCGCTGCAGGCCAATGGGAGCTGCTGGAAGCGGCGGCCAGTACGTTCCTCGGCCTGCGCCACTTCCAGCAGCTCTCATTGGCCCGGAGCAGTGAACCACGGCCAGTGGGAGCCGCGATGGGCCGGACCTGCGGACGGTTCAGGTAAACAAACCAGCCCGGCTCGCCAGGGGCTTTCCCTGCACAAGCGGAGACCCCAGTTTGAGAAACACTGATGTAAGTGAACGTGCTCCTGTGCCAATGGAAGAGCTTCTTCCATCGGTGTAGTTAATCCACCTCCCCAAGAAGCTCTCCCATTGCCTGTCTACACGGAGGGTTAGGTCAGTATAACAACGTCACTCGGGGTGTGGATTTTTCACATCCCCGAGCAACGTAGTTATACAAATATAAGTCTGTAGTGTAGACGGGGTCCTAGACACCACCAAATGTAGGAGTTTCCCATCTGGCCAAGGGAAGGCATCCAGCACCATAGATGTATTTATTAGAGCTGTGTTAATATCTGACTTTTTTTTTTTT